GGAGAAAGCGGCTACCTGTGGCGGTTGCGCTACTTAGGAGGGCACGGAGCATGCGCAGTAGCTCGGCTGAAGCCCTGCGCCCTGCCCACTCCATGGAGTTCATGCTCTGTTCCTAGAAGGGGGAGGGAGGGGGGCTACACAGAGGAGGGGGTGTGAAGCGGCTGCAGGAAGGGTGAAAATAGTCACCCCCGTGGGAGCGAGGCACCAGTCAAAGGGGGGGGGGGGTTTTAAAAACCCGCTTCTGTATAATTTACGCCAATCAGACGCACTGAGCATCCTCAAGTTGGACTGCAGATGCCCCTGCCCTTAGCTCTGCCCTTTTTTTTTTTTTTTTTCCTGACTGCATTTTAAAAGCGTTAACAATGGGGGAAAAAAGAGGGGGGGGGGCTAAACCGAGGACGTGAAGTCTCATCACATTTCACAAGTTTGTGTTGTCCGCTGTCGCTGATTTGCACGCCCCTCCCTGCAACCCCTTTTCATTGTAGCTTTGCGCCTTTGCAAATGTTACTTCAAGGCCGGTCGCTGCGGTGGTTGCTTTTGTTTTAATAGCTAATGCTCAAAACCACGGGAGTCCGTGGGAATTCTTTCTGTGATTGTCTGACAGCGCTTGCTGCCTCTTGTTTTTCTTGTTATAGCTCTGCATTCTGGAGGGCATGCTGTCCATGCACGCAGGCTAATGAAAAACCTTCCCACTGCCCTGCTCCCAGTCTCTGCTTGGACCAAAGTGGATACGTAGACATTGGGAAAGACACACCTAAACCCCCCTGAAACCTCCCCTAATGCGCATCACTCCATTCATATAGGCTGTGTGTACACTGGGCCACTTATTCCAGAAAAGCAGCCGCTTTTCCGGAATAACTTGCCAGCTGTCTACACTGGCCGCTTGCTATTCCGGAAAAGCAATGACGATCTGCTGTAAAATGGTCAGTGCTTTTCCAGAAAAAATATGCTGCTCCCGTTCGGGCAAAAGTCCTTTTCTGGAAAAACTGTTCCGGAAAAGGGCCAATTGTAGACAGCACAGTAGTCTTTTCCACAAAAAAGCCCCGATCATGAAAATGGCGATCGGGGCTTTTTTCCGGAAAAGCGCATCTACATTGGCCATGGACGCTTTTCCGGAAAAAGTTCTTTTCCGGAAAAGCATCCTGCCAATGTAGACGCGCTTTTTCCGGAAATACTTATAACAGAAAACTGTTCCGTTTTAAGCATTTCCGGAAAAGGGTGCCAGTGTAGAAAGCAGGGAAGCACAGCTTGATGGGAAATCCCTGCTCCAGATGCTGCTAATGACCCCTTTCCTACACACACCCAGATCAATAAGTAATCAGGCTAATTCTAGGAAACACTTCTCTACTGTATCCAAAGTACAGTACTGAAGCTGCCTAATTGAATTATGTAAGGCAGGTATGGAGGGTGTACGGTCCGCAGGCTGGGATGCCCTGAACTCCCTCCTGCCCCCTACAACAGGGCAACTCAGTGTTGGCACTCTAGCCATCTGGGGGAGGGTCTCCAAGGCTTGTTGCCCCCTCTACTATCTGAGGCTGGAGCACCAGCGAGCAGGGGCGGATGAGAGTTTTGCGGGGCTCAGGGCAGCACAATTTCATATTCCCCCCCCTTTGGAGGAAAAATAGAAAAAAGGCATCAAATGTGCAAATTGAAGGCTATTTTCATATTAAATGTGAATTGGGTAAATTTGATAGAAACTTAATTTAGTTGGACAATTTTTATTTTAATTATCTTGTAATTCATTCTTAAACAAAATTCTGCATTAATAATTAAAATGTTAAGTCTATTATAGCTGTCTAGCTCTTTTGGCAGCACATTCTTCAATTATGTCGTTAAATTCCATTTCTTTACACAGGTGATTTTCAATTGATATAATCGAAAGACCTACAAAATGCTCCTGGCTCATAGTAGATCTTAAGTAATTCTTTATTAGTTTCAGTTTAGAGAAATTTCTCTCTGCTGAAGCTACTGTCACTGGACTAGTTAGAAGTATCCTAAGAGCAATATAAATATTAGGATATATGTATTCCATATTGTTCGAACAAATTATTTGCAAACAATCATGAACTGTAATACAACTCTCTCTTTCTTCTCCTGACCTGCCCCCCTCCTCTCAGCACAAGCCCCTTCCTCCCCCACCCCTTCCCCTTCTGCCTTCCAGTGTGCGGGGCTGGCATCTGTGGAGCTGCAGCTGCGGGCCCAGGGCCAGGCAGAAAGTCTCCAAGAGACACATGAGACCGTAGTAACCACAGAGCTTGAAGCCCCAACGCTCTGGGTGGGACCCGCACACAGAGGCACCAGAAGCCACATTTATCCTCCAGGCTCACCATCCCACATGCCTGGGAAATGTAGCTCCCCAGAGCAAGCCGCGTGGGGCCAAATTTGTGATTCCTGCGTCTTGGGGGCCATTGACCCCTAAGAAACAGACAGATCTGGGCTGCTCTTAGGTGAGAAAGAGAGAATCCAGCAGGGGATATTTAAATCCCCCGCGGATTTCCCTATTCCGAAGTTTAAAATTAGCATGCCCCTTTCGAAAAAGGGGCCAGTGTAGACGTAACCACAGTTTAGAAAAATCAACCATATGCAGCTAAATTCAACCTAAACTCCTAGTGCAGATCAGGCCTAAGTCCCAACCATCTGAAAGGCACATGACTGGGCACTTGAGCCAGAGAGACTGTTTTTGTTTTCTTCAAGGATATGGTCTCTTGGTGCAGCTATATTTACAGAGCACTATGTCATCTTAATTTCAGATTTTCTTTTTTCTTTTTTGTCATAGCAATGTTTAGCTTTGCAACCAAAACACTGAATCCTGATTGGCATAGGTAAATACTAAACAATGGTTAAATTGAGGTAAACGGCAGCTTTGATTAAGTGAGATGTGCAGGGCTGGTTCTGTGATAACAATTATTTCTGCAGATAAGTTGCTTGTGCTATCAGGAAGCCCTTTTGCTACACTTCAAATATTTAAGACTATCAAAGTGCTGTCCATACTAGGAAAAAAGATCTGTTACCTATTATTGTTTCCCACATAGTGCTGAAACCTTTTTTGCTGCTCATGCAGATGGAATAAGCACTGTTATATAAACCATGATAAAGTGTGACTGAGATTGTGTTTAATAATGAAAGAATTTTTGTCCTGCTACATCAGTTTAGATAATTTTCAGCAGTGATTATTAGAGAAATTGCTGGGAATGAACATAATCTGTAGAGATTATTTTCCCATATCTTTAAAGTTCAAAAAATTGCTTGATGAGAAAGGTGAGGATCACATCAGATAGATAAGATGTCCATGCATCTGACAAAATGTTTTTTTTGCCCATGAAAGCTTATGCCCAAATAAATGTTAGTCTTTAAGGTTACGTCTAGACTACAGGCTTTTGTTGACAGAGGCACCAGAAGCCGCATTTATCCTCCGGGTTCACCATCCCACAGCTGCTACATCCAGTTCTATAGACAAAGCAAGCCGCTTTGTCAACCTGAGAGTGTAGACACAAAGAAAAGTGTTGATAAAATAATGCCTTCTGTCAACAGAACTCTGTCAACAAACGACGTTATTCCTCGTCGAATGAGGTTTACTGCCGTTGACAAAACTGCTGAGTTCTGACGACGTTATGTCGACAGAGCGCGGCGGTAGTGTAGACGCAGGTATAGTTTTGTCAACAAAAGTCCACTGTGTCTCAACAGGGACCTAGACCTTGAAGGGTATCCTGAATCTCTAGCTGGAGTCATGTCCACTGCGGCCAGGTGTGAGGTGACCGGAACGGGACTTCCTGCAGACTAAACGGGCGTAAGCATTTGTAAGTGCCAGTTAGTCTTATATGCATTGCTTTTCCTATGCTGAGATTTGTATTAGTTTGCAGTAGCTGTGTAACTGAGTGTGTGAAGTCTTTGCCCCCACCTCTCCAAGAGAGACCCACCACCTGTTCTGAACTGGCAGTTCCCCCTAGTTGCCCACATCCCTGGAAGTGGGAGGAGACTTTGCACACTCCCACCCCCAAGTCAATCAGGGCCTGGGGGAAGGTGGAGCATGCAGAGACTGCCCCTGCACTGCAAGGGAGCACCACGCTTAGTCACCTGCCAGCTGAGCAGCAGCTGGTGGTTGACTGTCAGTGCTGAGACCCTTGCAGGGCAGGAGGAGACTTCACGTGCTCTCCCACATGCAGGCTAATTAGGGCTTGGGAACAGGGGGAGCACGCAAAGTTTTCTCCTCCCCTGCCAGGAGCACGCAACGCTTCTAGGTATCCTGAATCTCTATCTGGAGTCATGTCCACTGCGGCCAGGTGTGAGGTGACCGGAACGGGACTTCCTGCAGACTAAACGGGCGTAAACATTTGTAAGTGCCAGTTAGTCTTATATGCATTGCTTTTCCTATGCTGAGATTTGTATTAGTTTGCAGTAGCTGTGTAACTATTTGCCAGTATTAAGCCTGTAATAGTAGTGACGTAGTAAGATTAATAAAAGCCACTATCTATCCCTAATCAACTCTGTCTTTAAGCGAATCCACAACCCTGTTGGGCCCTGGCTCTGTGGCTTGACACCCTCCTTGTCTCCAAATCAATCAGGGCCTGAGGGAGGGGGATCACACACAGTCTCTCGCTCCCTGCCCCCACCCTGCAAGGGAGCACCACGCTTAGTCACCTGCCAGCTGAGCAGCAGCTGGTGGTTGACTGTCAGTGCTGAGACCCTTGCAGGGCAGGAGGAGACTTCACGTGCTCTCCCACATGCAGGCTAATTAGGGCTTAGGAACAGGGAGAGCACGCAAAGTTTTCTCTTCCCCTGCCAAGAGCACGTGACGCTTCTAAGCTCTGTGTATTCCTTGCAGGGTGGGAGAAGACTCTGCTTGCTTTTCTCCTGTCCCCCAGGAGCGTATGGTACTTCTGAGTGCTGCTCACTCCTTGCAGGGTGGGAGCAGCGTGGAGGAAATTTCACACACTCCCCCGGTCCCCAGACCCTAATTGGCCTGGGGGCGGAGGAGTGGCAGGGCCTCCGTGGGGTAGATCAACCCGCTTGGTGGGCTGGATTCAGCCCACAGAGGCTCTTTTTGGGCTGGATTCAGCCCACAGAGGCCTGCCCCTGGTCTGGGGCATGGTGCTGAGCTCACCCAAGGAGGCTGCCCCCTTCTTTCTGCAGGGGAACGACTAATGCATGTTCGCCCATGTCTGTAAAACACACACTTGCTTAGCAATGAGGTTGCAGACTCTAACACTGTCTCAGATGCACAATAAAACATTATTATTTAAGAGCTCTGAGGCAGATTGTGGGGCTAACGCTGCTGCTTTGCCGTGACAGGTCTTTGCATCTGAATGTCAGCAGCTCCCTGTCTGAGTGCACATTATGGAGAAGCAGCATGAAGGGGCTGTCTCTGAGGTGTGATGCTAAAGGTGTGAAGTTAAAGCACACAATGAACAGCACCTTCAATCTCAGAGATTTCACTGCTCAGTCAGTTCAGTTTCCATATGGGGTTTGGTTTCAAACAATAAATAGGGTGAAAGTCTGAGAGCTGGCTGGCTCCCACTGGATTAGTCTGTGCATGGTGAGAAACTGCTGGATCCCCAAGGGCTCCTCAGTCTAGTGGATATAGCTCAGTGAGAACCAATAACTGGAAACTGAAGCCAGACAATTTCAGGCTAGAAAGCAGGCACAGAGGTTTGATAGGGAAGATGATTAGTCCCTAAATCAAATGGCTAAAGGAAGTGGTGGATTCCCCATCTCTTGATGTCTTCAAATCAACACTGGGCGACTCTCTAGAAAATATGCCTTGGGGAAATAGAGCTTTATGCCTGGGTAACTGGACTAAATGTAATGGCATGTCCCGCAGAGGGCTCAGACTACATAACCAATGTTCCCTTTGGACACTGTGAATCTATGAGATGTAGGATCTCATCCTGCAAACACTCACCACACGTGTTTAAAAATAAGCATCTGAAGGGTCCCATTGACTTTACTAAATCTCTGTGGTGGAGAGGGTTTATAAAGTGTCCTTTGGTTTAGCCCGGGCCTAGGTCTGTGCTACAATTGAGGAAGATTTAGGGGCTTTAACTACAGGAGCCTAAACTTAGCCACTTACATCCATGTTCAGATGCTTGAATATACATATTAAATATACAGAGAAAATGCTCCTTGTCTGCTTGAGTCTGTGCTACAAATAAATGGAGCAAAATGAGACACTTTAGCTGCAGGAACCTACGTTTAGACACCTACATCCATGTGCAGGCAGCATAATTAGTGGTTTATTTCTTGAAAGCACTGGGTGCTCAGAACTGAATCCCATTGTTACAGGCTCAGTAATGTTGAAACTCAAGCCAGATACTGAGAGAAATGAATGTGGATTTGGAATCTAACTTGTGTGTTGTTTATGCAATGTTGAGACTCAGCATTTGCCCAAAATGGCAGAGTCTAGCATGTGTGTCACCAGGACAGTCTGGGGAGAATGGGGTGTGGAAAAGATTAAAACCTCTTCTGAAATGTCTCCAATTGCCCTTCTCTCCCTACTGACAAGCTGCAGAACACCCATGTCTTGCTCCAGTTCAGCCCATGGCCTGCAAAGCCAGGGACAGGAAATGGCTGTGGCGGAGCCGGTGACTTTCAAGGAGGTGGCTGTGTATTTCTCTGTGGAGGAATGGGCTCTGCTAGACCCAGGCCAGAGAGCCCTCTACTGGAATGTGATGCAGGAGAATTACGAGGCTGTGAGTTGGCTGGGTAAGGATTCCTGTCCCTTTGGATATCAGGGTCTGGGTGGGCTCTGGAGTGGCTGGGTTGGGTTTGGTTCAGGGTCCCTCACACCTGATCTTGCGGGGTAGAGGGCACTATCAGCCCCAGTAATATGGCTCCTGTGTGAGAGACTGTCCCCTCCACACCTCATCCCAGGGGAAGCAGGTTGAGGGACATAACAATGGTGCTGCTCTTCCCACAGCCAAGGTCTCAATGTACTTCCCCACCATTTTGCCCATGTTGTAACTTGGACAGAGATGTCAGTGGAAGGGGCCAGGCAGGAACAGCAGATACCAGAGTTCTGGGGCTGGTTATGGCTGCTGTTAGTGCCTGTAGGATACCTCTTGTGCCAGTGGGCTGAGCCCCTGGATGGAGGATGTGGTTCCTGGAGTCCTTTCCTGCCTGTGGCTGATCTCTGTGACACGCCAGTTCCTGCCTGTGAGAGGGGCTGGGTGCTGGGGCTGAGGGAGGGTAGATGAGGCAGTTCCCGCTATGCGAGTGTTCTGTGGGGGTAGCTGTGTAATAACTAAACGTGAGCGGAGCTCTTCCTGCTTTTCAGACACTGCGTGTGGTATCTGGAGACTTGCATTTAATTCCCTGACCTGACACAGACTTCCAGTGAGACCCTCGACAAGTCACTTACACTGCCTATGGCTCAGACCCCTGTCTTTGCAATAGCTATTATAGTATGTCCCTGTTTCACAGGACAGGGGAAGGATAAATACATTAAATATGGATGATGCTCTGTGCCATATAAGCACCCAGGTAGCACACTGGAGTCCAGTCACCTGTGGAACTCCTTACCAAAGGGTATTGTGAAGACCAGGACTTTAACAGGGTTCAAAAAAGAACTAGATAAATTCATGGAGGATTGGTCCATCAATGAACATTAGCCAGCATGGGTAGGAAGGGTGTACACAGCCTCTATTTCTCAGAAGCTGCAAATGGATGACAGGAGAGGGATCACTTGAAGATTTCCTGTTCTGTTCACTCCCTCTGGGTTATCTGGCATTGGCTGCTGATGGAAGACAGGATACAGGGCTAGCTGGACCTTTGTTCTGACCCATTATGGCTGGTGTTATTTTCTTGTGCTTTACACTGGAGATCCCAGGTGTTGCTGTGACTGATAATCTTTGCTTACTGTAGCAGCTGCAGTGCCGTATGAATCGCTGCTAGTGCCACAGAGCACCATTACAGCTGATCATGGTGGCTTTTTCTGGATCTCTGATGCCAGCTGCACTGACAGAGCGAGCGGCTTGCCCATGCAGCACAGCTCAGGGTTGTCGCTAGAGAAAGACACAGGGCTCTGTTCAGGGGCTAAGGCGCTTAGCCAGGTTTATTGTAGAAGGAGGAGTGTACTAGGCTCATGTGCTGCCTCAGCCCATCCCTCAGCAAAATCTCTCAGGGTATGTCTACACTACAATGTTAGTTCGAACTAACGGACGTTAGTTCGAACTAACATTCATAGCCGCTACACTAGCGCTCCCTAGAGAAAGACACAGGGCTCTGTTCAGGGGCTAAGGCGCTTAGCCAGGTTTATTGTAGAAGGAGGAGTGTACTAGGCTCATGTGCTGCCTCAGCCCATCCCTCAGCAAAATCTCTCAGGGTATGTCTACACTACAATGTTAGTTCGAACTAACGGACGTTAGTTCGAACTAACATTCATAGCCGCTACACTAGCGCTCCGCTAGTTCGAATTTGAATCGAACTAGCGGAGCACTTAGTTTGAACTAGGAAAACCTCATTTTACGAGGATTAAGCCTAGTTCGAACTTACTAGTTCGAATTAAGGGGTGTGTGGCCCCTTAATTCGAACTAGTGGGAGGCTAGCCCTCCCCAGGTTTCCCTGGTGGCCACTGTGGCCAACACCAGGGAAACTCTATGTCCCCCTCCTGGCCCCGGACCCCTTAAAGGGGTACGGGCTGGCTACGGTGCCCGTGCCAAGTGCAAGCCTGCCAGCACCCAGCCAGCAGACCCTGCA